CAAAGGGGTTGGGGGAAACTAAGAATAGAGGGGATAAATAATATACACAGCATTGAAATAGACAAGGGAGAGAACTGTATAAAAGGAATATATGATTAGGTATTATTGGTGTGACAAGAGTCCAGAATAAGAGCTGCTTAGTAAACTGGTCTGTGGGAGGAACTGTATAACAATGAAAGAATTTTTTTTCTAAAGAAAAAATGAACTAGTCTGTGGGAGGAAAATGTATAACAATGAATGAACGGAAATCCAAGTTCTTTATAAACTTACAATAAAATCTCAATTAAAATTTTAAAAAGCCCATTTCTCAATCTTATTAAAATGTAGAGTTAACCAGCTGAAAAGATTCAAATTAGAAACTCAAAATGCTTAGATATTTACAGCATATACACTTCATATATCAGAAAAAAAATGTGTCTTGAAGAGATTAGTGTTCAAAATGGCTTCCCTAGCCTCTGAATTTTACTTTGCCATGTTGGATGGGCAGGAATATGCAAATAGGGCATGTTAGCCTATCCACAAAGGCCCTGGCTAGTCTCATTAAACTGAGTGGATCCAGTAGGAGAAACCACCAACCATAAAGCAGCAACAACAGAATGTGATATGTCCTTCAAAACTAGAGATTCTTGCACCAGCCAGACTAAGGCCTATGGGAACAACTGCCATAGCAGCAAAAGAGAACTAGAGACCCAATATGGGACTAGGTGGACTTAGGCACTGTTATGCCATTGAACCAGAGCTAAGAGCTTTGCTCAAGCTTGTTTGAGGACTATGGAGTAGAGAGTCAATATTGGCCAGACTGAAAACTTTGTAACACTGGCCTAAATCACAAGGCTCAAGGCTGAGGTGCCTTCAAGTACATTTTAGAAACTGTCCTGAGTAATTTCCCGATATGGTTCTGTGTGGTCTATGAGCTATCACACTGGATTTTGGAACCAGTAAGACAGTAAGATTGGTGTTGGGATGAGCAGAAAGAGAAGGAGCATAGGGGATAAGTCTGACCCCAAGAGAATGGTTTTGTGTTGCTGATGTAGTTGACAGGGACAAGTTCCCTTTTGTGAAGCTGGTAAAGTCAGAAAAGGCCATCTGCCTATGGCCCCTGCTCTTTTTACAAAAAATATATCAAGTCTTTATAAGTGAAATGTTATTTGCCGTCAAGTTGGAAATGACCCACAGCTGACTCTCTAGTGGGTTTTCAGAGGCAGTAAATCACATAGGAGGAGACTGCCCATCCTTCCCCTACAGAACAGCTGGTGAATTTGAACCTCATCATGCCTTTGAGATTGCAGTGCAGCTTATCATCATTCGGCCACCAGCGCTCCCTAAAAAAATGAAATAAGAATCTAAAACCTGTTATTTATATAATAGTAGGTCAGATTCTCCTTTCTTCATATTTTTGCTATCTTTATTTTGTTTTGAATTTTGTTAACTTAAAACTAGTATCATAAATCCAAATAACTATCTGAAAAAAGATTTTAAGAGGCAATAATATTGTATTTAACTTCACACATTTTTGTTACATAAATATACACAATATAAAGATAGCATGAGATGAAATTAAAAATGTCCATATTCTACAGTAACTTTACAATATTAGATTCTGAACTCAAGTTAATAAAGGTCAAGAAATGGGTTTAGTGTCTACTTAACTGACATGTAAGTTACAAAGCAGTGGTGCCAAAATCAGTTGGGAGGCAATTATCTTTAAGTATATAAATATAGATCATAACAGAAGTAAGTGGAGAGAAATAAGGATTGTTTTAAAATATATCTACACATGTATATACTTTTTCTGTTTAAAATGTGACTTCAAACAAGACATAGTATGATGCAGAAAAAAAATGTGACTTCAAAGGTTATGAGAATATTTCCTTATATCTGCTCTTTTAAATTCAACTAATGATAGCAAATGATTTTATAGAATGAGTTGTCATATTTCCCTTTTCTCTAAAATTAACTTTAATTACAGCTACAGAAACAAAAATAAAATTAGAAGCCTGTCATAACAGGAAATATTTTAACACATTTTCAGAAATAACAGAAGCAAGTTCCCAAAGCTGTTACTATGTCCTATAAAAGCGTCAATACAGAATTAACCCCAGTGAAGAAAAGTAGTTACAATGGATGTGAAATCCCAATTAAATAGATGACAGGTTACAGTCCAATAAAAATTAGGTGTTTAAAATTATAGCTTGACTTAAAAAAGTAATCTATAAGGGCCTTGGAACAAAACCCTAAGTAGATGAAAATAAATTACTAATACATTTTCCAAATGTATTTATTTTGTTTCTGTCTCTCTACCCACAGAGACATGCAAGCTCATAAAAGTTCTTGAAGCTATTAAAAATTATGTATTAAACAAGAAACTAAAAGGGTTAGAGAGCACAAAAGCACACATATATACTTAAATATCTACAAAACCCCTAAATTTTATTATAGTTTCAATACTTCTTTTGTAATTATATGCTAATATTAACAGCATCTTTCATTTTAAAACATTTCTTCACAATAACCATCCAGACTGCATGAAATAACATCTCACAAAATTTTACACTGATGTATGTATGGTTGTCTACAAAATTTTAGAAAGGACACAGGAAAAAAAAAATTATAGTGGCTAATCCAACTAATATTTGTGGATATAATACTACCAATCAAAAAATATGGAAGATAAAAGAGATTAAATTGTTATCGCTATTGGATAGTAAGGTCCAAGAATTTTAGAAAAAGGAACAAAATGAAATTTTGCTTTGATTCATTGAAAAGGATATAATAGTTGGGTGATACACACACACACACACACACACACACACACACATCCCCACACCCACACACACCCTACTTCCTTAAACGTATTCTCTATAGAAAGACGAAGTAATTTTTAAGTTTTTACCATAAACTTGATGAAATATCATACAAGACTTTGCAAGTTCTGTTTCTTTGATTATGTGTTTACCACACAACTTTCTCCTTAGTAACGTGTTTTCCCAAATTCTGGATTTTTAACTTGAAAATTCTGACCATTAGAAAGGGTTTTCTTCTATTCCAACATAAACATTCTACTGTGTACATTCTAATGAATATATAATTTTCTTGTTTAGTTTTAATTCGGTTCATTAAGTCTTAGATTACATAAGTAAATAAAAAAATCTGAGCACCCTGGACTAGAAATACAAGAACTAAACGAGTCTTATGGACAACTGCCACAAACATTTCCTGAGCTTCATTTTCCTCCTTCCACTATGCCCTGAAAATGAAATGATCTATGCTAACCAAATAAAATGTAGGTAAGATTTACTTAAATATCAAAATGACTAATTTTAAAAAATCATGAAACTTAAACCAAAACATAAGAATGAATTTTACTCAAACTTCATTTATACTTTCATGCTCAATTCCTAAAAGGGGGGGAAAAACCCTATGATAGTCTAATTATGCTTTAAAGGCAACAACAAAGTTCTTTTTAAGCTTGAATCAACTATAAGCATTATTTATGAAGTAATGTGGCATATGTGACTTAATTATTCCAAGAATTCATAAAATTTAAGAGGCATTCCAAATGATTCGAGCAGGGTAGAGACACAAAGTGCCTAAGTTTCCTACTTCAAATGATAACTGACTTTTCCCACTGTCATTCAAAAGGAATTATTTGTTACTGTTTGCAAAAAGAAAACTCTCTCCGAACGCCAAGAACTCCGAGTCACATAACAATGTAGATTTTCCACTTCCTTTACGAACAAATGTCTACTGTTGGCCCTAAATCCAGAGGGCAGAATTCTCTAAGGATCATCATGCCTAGAACTTCACTGAAACTGAAATTGTCTTCGCAATCTGTCTCCAGGAGACTGAAAGGCTACAGAGACGCAGAAGGTTCCTGCAGAGTGGAAGGTTGAGGCGGCGGAGGGAAGAGGGCGGGGGAGTGGGCCACCCCCAAAGAGGAACTGCAAAGCAAAAAACTGGAGAACGGAGAAGGGGGAGGCAGTTAAAGTACTGGGAAAATTTTACTTCTCCCGCCCCCCTTCTATGCTATGTACGTTTCAAGAAGAACTTACATAAAAACGCTAGAAATAAGGGCGGAAAGTGACAGCCAAAAGTCTTCCACGGCCAAGGAGATCTTCCACGGGTAGGGAGAGTGGCATGGGGGAGGGGACTAAAATAAGAGCCAAATTAGTCTTGGATTTGAAAAGCAGAATGCAAGCTTTGAGCTTTGTTTTGGTCCGGATCTAACAGCCCGATCGATAAGAGGATGGCAGATGGAAAGGACCGCACTTACTCTAGGTTCTAGAGAACGCGTTCGTTCGCAATGGTAACCAACCAGCACTGCACTAAGAAGATGTCGCCTCTCCCTGTTTGCTTGCTCCCGTTTATCTCTTTACCTCTTCATTTCCCGCAGCACTCCCGGCAAAACTATTCCAGCGCTTGCATCGCAGGAGAACAACAAAAGGCAAATACCTGAGTCTCAGGAATCACGCTGGAGGCAAGAGGAGGAGGAGCCGTGGACAACTGGATGGAGCTCGAGCTGAGCAAAGCAGTTTGACTCTGGTCAAACCCCAACTCTGACGGGTGGGGCGGGGAACTTCCGCCCCGAGCTAGAGAAGCGTCACTTCCGCCTAATGCCTTCAATCCTCCTCTCCTTCTGGGCCTCCCCTTTGCGACGCGACTTCAGCCTAGTCAAAACATTTGACTATGGACTACATGTCCCAGCATTCACCACGGCAGGTTGATTTCCGGGTCAAGAGTTCCGCGATGGGTAAATCACCATGGAAGCGATCGGTTTGATCACGTGGTGCCCCTGGTTACGCCCGGCAGCTGTGGGGTCCGGGGCCGGAGGCAGGGGCCATTTTGCTACAGGCTGTTAGCCAAAGCGGCCTAGCAGCTTGTTGAAGGTGGTGCTTCCCTCTGCTACAGCTTGAAGTCTGGAGAGGAACAAGACGGCTAGGCTCCATCTAACCCAGCGGAGACGGCAATGGTTTCCTCCAGCCATCTCAACCTGAAGACCCTCCATGGCGGCTGCGTCCTCCGCGCTGTTTCTGCTGCCGCCCCTTCCAGCACCCTGTGCCGATCGCCTCCAGGGCCGCAGTCGTCCTTCCGCCGCGCTGACTGATGAAAGTCGAGTTGGGGGCGCCATGAGAGGAGAGAAAACCTACTGTTTCCGTGGTGCTGCCGGCGACCACAATTCCTGCCCCTCGACACCTTCTCTGGCTCCAACCCTCTTGATGCCGACGGAGGCCGTCTCAAGCATCTGGGCTGGGGCTGGAGGTGGTTTGTCAGCGGGAGATGAAGAAGAGACTCGACCCCTCCAACTCCTCCGCGCCGCGCCGGATCCTTCCGAGGCCTTGCAGGCTTTGCAAGCTGCTCTCCCGCGGCGGGGTGGTCGGCTCGGTTTCCCCCGTCGGAAGGAAGCGTTGTATCGGGCCCTGGGCCGAGTGCTTGTGGAAGGCGGCAGTGAGGAAAAGCGACTCTGCTTGCAGCTTCTTTCCGATGTACTGCGGGGTCAAGGGGAGGCCGGCCAACTGGAAGAGGCCTTTAGTTTAGCACTCCTGCCTCAACTGGTTGCCTCCTTGCGAGAGGAGAATCCAGCCCTGCGGAAAGATGCGCTACAGATTCTGCACATCTGTTTGAAACGTGGTTCTGGCCAGGTTCTGAGAACACTTACACAGCAAGGACTGGAAAGTACCGACGCCCGGCTTAGAGCGTCCACAGCCCTGCTGCTACCAATCTTGCTTACTCCTGAGGATTTGTTGCTCGGCTTAGATCTCGCCGAGGTAATAATATCCCTGGCCCGAAAACTTGGCAATCAAGAGCTAGAGGAAGAAGCCGAGACTGCTTTCTCAGCTCTGCAGCAAATCGGGGAGAAACTTGGGCAAGAGCGATTTCAGTCTTACATCTCTCGCTTGCCCTCTGCCCTGAGAAGACACTACAATCGTCGCTTGGAGTCACAGTTTGGAAGTCAGGTTCCTTATTATTTGGAACTTGAAGCCTCCGGATTGCCTGAAGACCCCCTTCCCTGTGCTGTGACTCTTTCCAGCAGCAATCTTAAGTTTGGGATTATCCCTCAGGAACTACACTCAAGGTTGTTAGACCAGGAAGACTATAAAAACAGGACTCAAGCCGTGGACGAACTAAAGCAGGTGCTGGGAAGATTTAACCCTAGTTCTACACCTCATTCGAGTCTTGTCGGTTTCATTAGCTTGCTGTATAATTTGTTAGATGATTCCAACTTCAAAGTGGTCCTTGGTACACTCCAGGTCCTTCATTTACTGGTTATTCGCCTCGGAGAACAGGTGCAGCAGTTCTTGGGACCAGTCATAGCGGCTTCTGTCAAAGTGTTGGCAGACAACAAGTTGGTGATTAAGCAAGAGTACATGAAAATCTTCCTCAAGCTAATGAAAGAAGTAGGGCCTCAACAGGTGCTTTGTTTACTCCTAGAACATCTAAAACATAAACATTCCAGGGTGAGAGAGGAAGTGGTGAATATTTGCATCTGCTCCCTCCTGACCTATCCCAGTGAGGATTTTGACTTACCCAAACTGTCTTTCGATCTTGCCCCAGCTCTTGTAGATAGTAAACGCAGGGTACGCCAGGCAGCTTTAGAAGCCTTCGCTGTACTGGCGTCATCAATGGGCTCAGGTAAAACCAGTATCCTTTTTAAAGCTGTTGATACTGTTGAATTGCAAGATAATGGAGATGGAGTGATGAATGCTGTGCAGGCCAGATTGGCTAGGAAAACACTTCCAAAGCTAACAGAGCAGGGATTTGTGGAATATGCAATACTCATGCCGTCTTCTGCCCAGGGTAGATCAAGCCATTTAGCACATGGAGCGGATACAGACTGGCTTTTGGCAGGCAACAGAACACAGAGTGCACATTGTCACTGTGGTGACCACACGAGGGATAGCGTGCAGATTTATGGATCTTACAGTCCAACTATATGTACCCGGAGGGTGTTAAGTGCAGGAAAAGGAAAAAATAAATTGCCGTGGGAAAATGAACAGCCTGGAATGATGGGAGAAAACCAGACCTCCATTGCCAAGGATGTAGAGCAGGTAGGCATCTTCTCTGATCTCCTTTAGTTGAAACTGATGTAATTTAAAATGAAAATATTAATGTTGCTTGAGATTGGTTTTGCGTCATACTTAAAAGCATTTGAATGTTAATGTGAGTATACGTTATAACAATCCAGGTCAGAGTTGCTGTGAATTTTTGACTCAAGGTGAATCCATATGTGTTAGGGTAAGGTTGTGCTACATAACATTTCCAGTAACTATGATCTTTTAATTAGTAACCAAATACTTAACAGTTTGTGCTACCCAGGGTTTCCTTTACAGAGTCAAATAGAATTACTTAATGGAATTTTTTTTTTCTTGATAGATTTGATTAAGTTTGAAAGGGTTTCTGCCTGCTGGATTTGATTAAATTTGAGGCACTATGTGTTGTAAACAATACCTGAATTTAGTTTTAATCTCAGTTTGAGCATGTCGCTTACCTCATTCATAAAACAAAACAAACCAAACCCCACTGGATACTTAGCATCTATCAGACAAAAAAACTAAATTCTGGGAATAAAGGTGAAACCAACCAGTTCCATGCAATTATACGTGACCTACAGCTCCAAATTTGTTAAATGCTAAAATAGAAGTATAAACAGGCCTGTAGGAGCCTTAAGGTGTGGCATGTGAAGAGAGATTTTTTTTTTCTGCAAAGTTTATTCTGAAAATTCTAAAAATGCAGATGTTAGTACATTAGATACCCATATACTTAAATATCACCAATGCTTACCACTTGTCTACAACTTGTCATATTTCCTGAATCATTTGAAAATTAGTAACAGTGATCTTGCCATTTCACTCCTAAATATGTTTGCAGTCATCCCCTAAGAACAGTCTCCTTTATTATACCATTATCATATTATAGAATAGCAATAGTAATTCAGTAATCTAGTTCATATTCATCATGCATTTAAATTTCTCCACTTCTCCTAAAAATGAATTTTAAAGATTTTATTTTTCTTTTCCCCTCACGATCCAATCAAGTTTATATGACTAATATGACACTCTTTTTATAAACTAAAATAATAGCAACCTCTATTTACTTCTGGGTGGTTTTTTTCCCTTAACATTGACCTTTTGAAGAGCCTTGATGATTGTTTTGTAGAAAACCCTATGTTCTTAATTTTTATAATTGTTTGTTTATGCTTAGATTCAAGAATACTACATAGAGAATATTATGGACTACATATTACATCATATCACAAGCATATAATATCAGGTTATAAGTGCCATAATATGTGATGTTAAATTTCATAATTTGGTTAAGATGGTGATAGCCATCTCTCTTCCTTGAGAAGATACATTTTCATCTTATCATTAGCAAATAATTTATAGGGTTATACTTTGAAAACCTGCTCCAGCAGCCTTTTACCTATTCCATCCAATAATAATTTTTGCTTCTATTATTTATTACGTTAAGGGTTACAAAAGGGTGACTTGAAAAAAAATTCCAGCATTTCTTACTTGACATTTTTTTAAAAATCCAAATATAGTAACCAAGTTCATCAGTATTCTATTCCATGTTAAATTGTTCCAAGTTTGGTCACTTGTTTTTGCGTTCTTCTGATATAACTCCATTAGTCTTTGAGTGCTTCCTTTGGTTAAATGCATAATGATGCCCAGAGTTTCCTATTACTTTTCTTGCTCCAAGTCTGAAATAAATTATTGCCTCAAGAAGCATTGGAACTAGTACCGTGTTAATAAAACCAAAACCTAAACGTGCTACCATCAAATCAATGTCAATTCATGCAGTCCTGTATGTTTCAGAGTAGAACTGCCCTATATGGTTTTCTTGGCTTTATGGAAACAGATTGTCAGACTATTCTTTGATATTATTACTAAGTAGGTTCCAATCACCAACCTTTAGGTTAGTAGATAGAAACAAAGGCTGCATCACTCAGGTGCCATTATTAGAAGACACTGTTTTAAAAGGAAAATGTGAGGATATAAAAGCTCATGACTATTATTTGCCATTTAATGTTGACCCTTTCAATGAATAGAACAGAACTACATTTTAAAATTCACACTGACACTAAATTAAAATCTAATACTCCAGGCCTCTCATCTTTTTATTTCTTTCTTTCTTTCTCTGCATGGTAAAAATCTGGTTCCAATTATCAGGTAATTTAGTCATCTTTTATATCCAACAAAATACTTAAAATAACTGCCATACCAGTAACACAGCATCAACTGCCTTCTAAATAAAGTTCAAGATTTTATTATCTGTGGTTAGAATCATCTCACAGAGCTCTTTTTTTAAACATTTTTTTTTTCATGATTGGTATTTTATTGGTTGTTTTATTTTTTTAAACTTTTTAAAATTAAATCTTTCCTCTGGGTAATTCTTGTTCAGGGTGTTGAAAAATAAATAGGAATTTTCTAAATGTGGATTTCTCTCAGTGAATTTCATATCAAAGGAATAGTGTTTGGAGACTGAGTTATGAAAGAATCTAGCAAATTAATAAGAGAATCATGTATCTACAGACTGAAATAAAGGAGCTAATGTGAACTAGCTGATGTTATTGTAGGTGTCAACAAGAACAAAGTATGTATTTCTACAATTAAAGAGTTTGGACATTTTACAGTAGGTCTCAAATCTGTACAGTAGTGAAAATGAACTAAGTGTTCTTTGGTTTCTTCCATTCCAAAATGTGAAGATTTAATAAAATAATTTTGTTATAAAAAAATAATTTTGTTATAATAAAAGTAAACTAGTTATAAAAATTTAACAGATGAACCTCGAGCTTTCATTGCACCAAGTATTCCTAGATAGATTTATAATACTTTTATATTGAAAACCTTTCAAATGCTTTCAGTTTTTGCTTAATGTATCTGTCCATTAGTCATTCTTGTATATTGTTAATATTCTCTGGAAGCAAGTTAAAGTTTTTTAAACATTGATATTAACAGTGTATCAAATACAGAATGCCTCTGTGTGTATGTGTGTGTGTGTGGGCAATGTAAATAAAATTGTATCACCTGCCAAAGTGTCAAGAATCCAAAAAGAAAGGCATTTCATGAAAGCTAGTGGATTCCTTCATAATGTTGCTTTTGAAAGATGCTGTAGTAATTAAAACTTAGCTAAGAGCCATTTATACTTTCTTGTTCAGAGATTGTGTGTAGGAGAACTACATTGCAAATTATTTTCATGGAGGGTAAGAATTAAATGAACTCTGGTGGCCTTTGTGGTAAGAACCTGTGCTGCAATCCTGAATGCACGTGATTTGAATCCATCAGCTGCTCCACAGGAGAAGGATGAGTAGTCCCCTTCTTTGCGATTAACTGCCTCTGAAAACCCTCTGGAGGATCAACCACCAGTCAGTTCCAACTCAACAGTACTCAACAACAACAAGGATTACGTATTTTTATGTGTGAAGTTTGTTTCCCATTTTCCTCTCTTTTCTTTTCCCATACATAATGATCATTCCTGAATTCTAATAAGAAAATTCTTTTGTAGAATAAGTGTGTAAAATTTACAGTGAAACAAAAATCTCTGATTACTCTAAAATATTTGTTTCCTATTATAAAATGCAGTATTGCCACAAAACAGTAATAAAATTAAATCTAAGTTACAAATATCGGGCACTCACATTTCATGCCAAATAAGAGGACAAGTTTTGAAAGCCAGTAGCATTTTTTCATTCTAAAAATAACCAGTCTATATGCCCTTCAGGGTGCTTTGGTGGCATAGTGGGTGAGGATTTGTGCTGCCAACTCAAAGACTGACAATTCAAATCCACCAACTACTCCAAGAGAAAAAGATGGGCAGTCTCCTCCTGTGTTTTATAGCCTCTTAAAACCTGGAGTGTCACCTACGAGTCAATTCTGACTTGACAGCAATTAGAGAGAGATACCTGCATTATAATTGTCTATACTGTTTAACTGTTACTGTTGTTATGTGTCAGTTCGCTTGTGACTCATAGCGACGCTATGTACAACAGCTCTGAATCCTGCTCTATTCTGAGTTAAACTTACTGTCTCTGACACATTTACCCAGATTACCCCAATCATTGAATTAATCCAATTTGAGGGGCTTCCTCTCTTGTGCTGTCTCTCTACCCTCCCAGACATGAAGTCCTTCACCGAGGACTGGTCCCTCTAGCCAGCATACCCAACGTATGTTAGACGGAGCTTTACCTTACCTCGAAAAAAAAGTGTGGTTTCACCCTCTCCAGGACGAACCTATTTGTTCTAGCAGTCCATGGTATATTCAGTACTCTTTTCTAGCACATAGCTCAAAGGCATCAATTCTCCTTTAGTCATCCTTAGTCATTATCCAACTTTCTGATATATAGCATGTAATTGAAAAACCATGGCCTGGATCAGGTGCACGTTATTCTGCAGACTGACACATCTTTGCTCTTCAGGACTCTGGAGAGATCCCTGACAGCAGACTTTCCCAATACAATTTGTCTTTGGTTTCCTGGCTGCTGGTATCTAGAGGTTGATTGTGGAGCCAAGCAAACTGAAGTTAACAATTTAAATTTCTTCACCTTCTGTCATGATGCTGCCAGTCAGCCCAGTGGTGAGAATCTTTGTCTTGATGTTGAGCTTCAGTCCATATTTAAGGCTGAAGTCCTTGACCTTCTGCAGCAAGCACTTCAAGTCCTCCTCAGTTTCAGCAAACAGGGTTGTGTAACATGTGTAACACAGGTTGTTAATGAGTCTTCTTCCAATCTTGATGCCACATTCCTCCACATTGAGCCCAGCCTCCTGGGTGATCTATTTTGCTTATAGATTGAAAAGGTGTGGAGATATACATCCTTCCTGATTTGAATGATGCAGTGTTTCCTTGGTCTGTTCTGAGGATGCCTTCCTGGTCTAAGTTTGCATAAGCACAATCAAGTGTTCTGGGATTCCTATTCTTCTCAGAGTTAGTGACAGTTTGTTGTGATACACATAGTCAAATGCCTTTGCATAGTCAATGAAACACAAATAGACGTTCCTCTCGTGTTCTCTGCTTTCAGCTAAGATCCATGGAACATTAGCTACAATAA